CAAAAGCACCAAGGCGGTGGGCAGTGCTCGGCTGGCGCGGCATTTACATGCACTTCATGGGCAATCAGATTAAGGGAGGATAACAGCATTAGGATGGTTCCTGAGCCACCCAGCAGGCAGGGTGCACAACTAAAGCACACCCAGCTTTACCACACAGGGTTTTATTGCGAACAGCTAGTCTAATGACTAAATATGCTAAGACGATTTTGGTCATTTTTGTGATTTGTGATTTGAGGTTTTGAGGTATTGCTTTCTTAGCCATATTAAAATCAGGAAGAGAAGCTTGCTGTTGTCAGCGACGTCTGCCATCCTGCTGATCAAGATAGCTGGCGGAGCAAGTCCAATTAAGTAAAATGACAAGTCTTATAAGGCCTGTGTGATAGCAGTGCATTGTAACAGTGAATATATTTAGAGTAAATCTTCACAGGTTGGCTATTGCAATTTTATTTTAAATGAAACAGAAGCAATTATTTATGCTTATGTTATTAACTAATTAAAAGGTATTATATGTATTCACTTGACTCAAATGAATTAAATATGTTTACGGGCAAAATTGAAATAAGTGAAAATATCTGAAACTTCTTTGACACAGTCCAAATTTCACTTTAAGGAACAATAACAGTAAAATTTTTCTGGGTTTTGAATTCTGAGACACCATCAGGGCCCAATGACTGACATTTTAAGTACTTTTACCTTTCAGAAAGAAGTGAATGGCTATGCTATGGAGTTTGCAGAAATTTGGGTTAAGAGAGAGAAATGAGGAAAGAGTTTCAGAGTAGGGAAAGCCATTTGGTCTATCAGAACCTGGATATAGACACTTTGGATCTAAAAATAATTTCTAGGAAACTGGGACTAGTTGGTGTGTGTTTGTGTGTGTGTGTACCATCTAACTTTTATGCTTTTAAGAACTTCTACTAAATTTGTAAAAAAAAACAAAACAAAAAACCAAACAAACAGTGAGAATACCAAAAGGAAGATACCTACAAAAATACTATATTAGCAGCCATTTAAACTTCTGAAGGACTGAAAAATAAAGGCCGTTCACGTGAGGGTTCAGAACTTTAGCACTTCCAGCTGCTGTCAGTCCTTGCTTTGATGCTCGAGTTTAGTCTTAAGAGCTGCAGCAGTTCTCTCTTTATTTAGATGGAGTCTAATTTATTTAGCTCAAGATTCTGTCTTTTAAAAATTTCATCCTGAACTTCTCAGAAAACCCAAAGGTCATGTTTACAGAATAGATGCACAGCAGGAATTAAATAAATGTGGAGCTGCCTGAGCAGCAGGTCTTCTTTATTCTATCAGAGAAGCTGTTAATCTTCAGATGATTATTTTTGTAATATAAAATACATATCTTGGATTAGGAAAACAAATTTCCCACCTGACACGCTCATAAACAGTTTTGTAAGAGCTGATTTTAGATTGTTCCGAGCCTTTTCATTGCATCATCAGGGACATTTAAAATTTTTAAGAATTCTCCAGTGCTTCTCAAGGCTCGCATTTAAGCAAACCCTCCTGCACAGCACAAACCAAGAAACACGGTGGGTTTTGCGAAAAACTGCGAGCAGTGGTATTTATTATCTTTCCTTATTTTAGCTAATGGATGAGCAGGGCGCAGTGTTGTGAAAAACTGATCATATAAGGTGATGTGATGCATGCATAGGAGAAGGCCAACAACAACGATGGCAACAAACAGGACAAAGGAGCAGGGTGCACTGTCGCCTCGGAATCTGCCCACTGTCATCTCCCTGATGGCCGTGAGCGCGCCGTGCTTCGCCCGGACACTGCTTCGCAGCACGGCCGCTCTGCATGCCAAGTTGTATCGCTGGACTTTTGTTTTAACTGCACTACTCATTTATGGAACTCTTTGTAGGTCACGCAGCATTTTCGTATTATTATTATTTTACTTGCTCCTCACCATAACCCAGTGAGATAGGTAACACGGGAATTTGCCCACATGTTATAGGTCAGCAAAAAGGATCACAGACTATCGTCACACACTCCTAAGGAGTTTTGTGGGCAGAACTACTGGTACCACGTACTCTTTTACCTACCAGACTTTGCGTCAAAACACACACACACACATACACACCCTATTTAAAAGAAAAGAGAAACTTTCTAAGGAAATTTTTCTCCTCAGGAAACTGCTATTGTATTTCTAGCATCTTCTCCTTTGAGATTGCTTAATACATACAGGTGCTACTTAGCTTAACAAACATAAATAGTGGTTTTAAAAAATGATAGCTTTAAAAATCATAAGTATTTCACTTTACACAAATAAAAGATACAAAAATTCAGTTTGCTGGGAAGAAGAATTAAAAGATTATATTGCTCTACAAAAAAACTGAGTAGGATTGCTCTAAATAGCAAAATTCCTCAGCACACGTAAGATATGTTGATTTATGAAAATCGATTCCTACAGAGCTTTACAGGAATGCATCTGTTACATAAATCCATGCTCACCTGTAATTTACTCTAGAGGGAGCAACTGAGTGATAATCATAATAACATACTCATGTAGTCCTTCATTATACAGCCTAAAGTGCTTTCCTCTAATTTATTACATTTGTCTTTGGCAACCTGAAAAGGGAGGCAGACAGGGTATTATTATCCTTTCTTTGCAGATGAGAAATTGAGAGGTTAAGTGATTTGCCCAAGGTCAGACAGCCTATTCATTCATTTACTGCTATTTGAGTGATGTACTTTTAACAGGGTAGTCAAGGAAGTAAGGTTCTTCCTCCTATTTTTTTTTTGTTTTGTTTTTAACCAGCTGTGAAGGCTATTAAAAGAGGTGGATGATCTCACAAATATAATGTTGAACAAAAGAAGCCAGACACAAAAGTGTATATTCTGTATGAGTCAATTAATGTAAAATTCAAATATAGGCAAAATTAATCTATGGTGGCAGAAGTCAGAATAGTGGTAAAATTTTAGAAGAAGGGGTTGTGACTGGAGTGGAAAGGGGGTTTCTTGGGTATGATAACATTCTATTTCTTGCCCTGATTTTTGGTTACATAGTTATGTTCACTGTGAAAATTCACTGAGATCCAGACTTAAGATTCTAGTTTTCCTTGTGTAGAGAAGTTTTCCTTTAAAAAGGAATTTCCTATCTTGAAAAACAGAACAATGCACTTTAGAAGATCATTACATTGCACAGATCCTTTGAACATTTGTGATTTAATAAAGTTTCTTAGCTGCCTTTTAAACATGAGAATATTAACTAAATCTGAAGAGTTTAAAGACAGAAGAAAATGTTTATAGAAAAAATACCCAGGTTTATCTTCATCTCAAAAGTTGCCATAGGAAATGGGAAACTGGAGCACACTAAAATAATAACATTTCAGGTGCAACATTTATATTTAATGATATTAAGCTAGGAATTGCAGGGAAATGGGATTCAATTGTTATTCATATAGTGTATTCTAGAGAGACTATATGAATTTAAGGAAGATAAGATTGCAATTAATAAAAATATCCATTTTCCTTTTAAAACTTTGCATATTGGTATACTGCACTGAACACTGGGGTAGAAAGCCAATGGTGATGATGAAAATCTGAGTAGGATGCGTACACCTGGGAACAAACAAGGGCTCCTAACAGTCCCAAGGAGCCTTCAGTGTAAGAATGTCTGGGAGGAATATGTTTTGACCATTAGCCAGCATAGAAATCACAGGTGCATTCAATTGCCTAAAGTAATTTCAAAATTTATATTGTAGTTTTCCAAGAATCCTTCACCTCCTGTGACCCTATATCCCTGACAGCTAATGCTGCTCTTGTTATGCAAGGTTACCACGGATGACAAATGTTTTGTTTAATTTTTAGATATGGTCTTCCGTTGTTGTTTCACTTAATTCTCTTTAAAAAGAATCCAATATAGTATCTCCCACCCCCACCCCACCCCATATTATCTGTATCAAATACCTATCTTGACCTTAGAGGTCAGGGACAGAGAATTTCCAGGCGGAGGGTGAGACTCCGTCCCAGGCCGTGCCCATTTCCCCAGCGATGGTTCGGAGGCAACCCTGCTACGGCCGTGCCTGCGGCTTGGTGGCTTTCTTCCCGCGAGGGCCACTGAAGGCCCGTGCAGGGAGGAGACTCTGACCTTTAACCCATTCACACATTTGTTTTCATTCTTGACCGACTGCCCTTTTTCTGTGCTAAGTATCTTTTACAAATAAATGTTCTATGCTAAACACCTGCACGCTGCATGTCCCGCGTTCCACAGAATGGACATGATCGAGCTCACTGGGATCACCGCATCCAGGACAGTGCAGTGAGACGCTGGAATCTGGGTTGCTAGATTGTCACCCTGTGCTCCCCAGCACTGCTCGTGTCACCAAATAGGTCAGAAAGAGGGCTCCAGGGACAGGGAGGAGAGACAGGGAGAGGCCGGTCGAAGGGCTGATGCTCTTCGGGGCTCAGCAAGCTGCCCCACCTTCTCTCATTGGCACAGGATAAACGTTCATGAAAACTGGCCCTCCTGCTGCGGGCGAGTCCACGTGGAATAATTTCATGATCTTTTTTAACGGTAGAGATCAAGGCAGCGTAACTGCTTCTCCCTGCGCGAAATCCTTCAACGAAGAACTCCCTGAGTCACTGTGAAACGTTTGCTATGCTACTCGACACTTAGTCACAGCCAACTCCTTTCAGAAGTCGTTTTATTTAAGCAAACAGGGATATCCCTAAATTTAATCTCCCTCGCAGCAGAGCTGCTTAAAGCGAATTCTCCCCTTTGCCTTCCCAAGTGTCTCCATCACTCTTCCCACCTAGAACCTCTCCCTCCTTCTCCTGTCAGGTCTGAACATGTGTTGTATTGTGACCTGTACCATATAATAGGCCATATTACTCTTTAACTTTTACTAATTTTCACTCTTTTTGTTATAGGTCACATGGCAGACACATTTGTTACACATAACCTTGACAACAGTTTTGACTTCCATTATTATTAATAGAAATTTTATGAAAATTTATAGAATTTAAAGTAAAAGAGAAATTCAGATACTTGCCATTGAGCCTTGTTTTCCTGGGTTCCCTGGTTCACCCTTAGAAAAAAATAGTGATAATTGTATTAATGCTATAAACATTAAAAAACAATTTCAAAATATATTTTTTTCTTTTTCATGGGGTACATGAATGTCAAATATACTTTTCAGGCTAAAAAGTGAAATGCAAACACCATGCAATGAAAAGAAAGCCAATATTCTTTCTTCAAGCGCATTTTATAAACATTTTAGGATTTAATAAAATGAGTCTAGATTATGGTAGAGATTTAAGATTATGCCAAGAATATATTCTAAAAAAAATTAGTAGGGGTGATTATATTATGTCATTAAATAGTCCTAGAAAAATATTTAATTGTAATTATAGTCATATCTCATTTATTTAATTGTAATTACAATAACATATCATTAATTATTATGTCCTATTTATGATGATGATGACACGGTCCTCTATGAGAATTCAGAACTCCCACATATACAACAGAGAGACAATTGTTCTTAGTGCAGGAATTAAATAAGAAATAGAGCAAAGATTGACTCTGAATTTTAATTATCCTGGATTAATGATGGTTGAAGTAAAATGTTTTATTAAAATTGACAGCATATATTAAAATAAAATTTTCTGCCGTATTATATCACTATCATAATGTCCTAATATTCAGATTCATACAGAATTCCTATCATGTTTTATTATATCATTATTATTATTGGCTACAGGCATTTTTTTGAAAAATATTATTATTATGCCAATATATGTAGATGTTGTTGGATTTTAAAAATAAGTCCTCAGTTTATTTTTTATAAAATCTTTTTCCAGTGCTTATAATAGTATATAAAAATGAACTCTGAGACTATAAATCTAGTTCAAATTATATTTGTGGAATTAAAAAAATATTCATACCTTTGTATAAAAGGCTCCATTTCTTAGATGAATAGACAACATTCACTTCAAGGATGACATATTTGGATGGTTTACAATCTGTTATAACTTTATCTTGTTTCTTGAAAGTAATTTATATTTTAAATTTTCTGTAGAGTATATAATACCCAATGACCTGACTAATTCTGTCCCATCAAAATGGTTTTAACTGTACTTCTTACTTGAAAAGACACTCATTGTATCTGTTGGAAACCAGCAATCAATTGGAGAGCTCCCTAAAGGTGCAGCTTTCTCTATCTTTTGAGATATCAACTCAAGAAGAGGGGAAACATTAGACAGTTTTAGGATGAAACCGTTGATGATTCAGTTAAAGCAGTCCTAAATCATATGTTGCAAATTAATTCCTTATTTCATATGACAAATTAACAGCAGCTTTCAGAAAGGGAAATGGGGCTTACAGAAGGTTGTCTCAGAAAAGTTTTAAACTACCTTATATTCTTACAAACAGAATCCTTTTTTTAAAAAAACACACCATATATAATATATGAATACAAAAATTAAATATACCAAAACAATGAGTATGGCTAATTTTTATTTTTTGTTTTTGGTTGTCTTTACTTTCACATATTTCTACAATGTGGATAAATAGTTTCAGCATTACTTTTGTACTAAGAAAACACTAGTGAAAATAATTTAAGTTAAAGCAATACATTAAATAAATAATTTTATTTATCAATAAACCTGAATTTCAAATCCTAACTTCATAATATGTGTAAATTTTTTGACCCTTTCCATATATTTATTTAAATTGCTGGGTGGCCTCTACCAAACCAAACCATTTATCTAGTGCCCTGTACCACTATATGTTGACACTTGACACTAAGTACTTAGTAAATTAGTACTTAGTACTTAGAGCTAAGTGTTGAGATTGCTGTTATTATTTTTTTTTTAATTAAATTTATTGGGGTAACAGAGATCACTTTTAAATCACTTTTATTAATAAGCTTCACATACAGAGGACAAATGATATTCAAACCAGACCCACTGATGTTTTAACCATTAATTTGACTGTTTTATCAGCAATTCTTTTGGTCAAGTTATTTACAAGGGATTAAATATTAGAAAGACTTAAATTCTTTACTCTCCATAAACTGTACGGGACTTTATTGTCTCTGCTATTGATCTTTTGGAAAATGTTATTAACCCCCCACCTAGTGTTTCAAGCTAGACTCCCTTTTAAACCAAAGGCACTGATGAACTCCATGGAGTCAGGACACAAGTGACATGGGGCTTCTCCAATCAGACTTCCAGGGGCTACCTGAACACCAGCTTACTTGCTGTCCCCAGGCCTTTGTGGTTCACATGAGTTCCCGTGGATTGAGAGGTAAAGCAGAATCCTGCTGGTAGCGCCCTCTCTGCTTGGGAGCTTTCCTAGCTTCCCACTTCCCTCAGCCCACTCCATTCACTTGACCCCCTAATCCTACAGCCCCTCCCAACCTCACTCCATCCCAATCTGCAGCCCTTGACACAAAACCAAACCTCTGAGAACAAGTGATCCAAAAAACAACTCACGGGCTCTCCTGGCATCCCGCGTGGGCCATCCTTCCCTGTGTCCCCAGGAGGCCCTCGTGGGCCTGGAGGGCCTGGCGGGCCTGGTGGCCCGGCTTGTCCTTGGTCACCCTACAATGGAGAGGGGGACAGACCAACCATGACCACAGAAGATAAAGACCCAGGTCTTCCTTTCAACACTTTAAGTTTGCATTATCTAATTCACATTTACACCCTGAAAGAACCTGAGCAACCAGAAACATGAAGCTGTGGGCAATTTGCCTGCCAGCAGGAATCGAATAAATATTCATGCAGGGGAGCTGAGTGGAGCTTTTAAAATCAAAGCAGCTTAGGGACCAGCACTCTCAGCTCTTGGAAATCCTGTGTCTGTTATCACTAGATTCAGAGCTGGTATAAAACCTTTGCATAGCTTTATCCATGAGAATGCTGCACCGGTTATATCCACCTTGTTTAATAAAATGGCTGCATTTGAAATTGTGTTTACTTTTTCATAACCTATAGAATTAAGCATAAAAGGCTCTTGTCATGCTGTATAGGAATTTATATATTACCAAAGCTGGAGACCTTAGAAACTGGGTCTATTACTGGGTATAAATTAGAGGAAAAGAAAGACCTTTTTCTTAATTAAGAAAAAATTAGGCTCTCTATACCTTTTATTTTGGTACTTTCATCTACATTTCAAACAAATGCAGCTCAGTAAACATAATTTTGTTCTAAGATATTATCAAATAAATTCCCTCCCACCCCTACCCTACCCACGAGAGATAAAAGGCAAAGCAACAGCATGCAGAGCAATAACCGAATGCGAAGAAGAACTGAGACTTGAGCAAGAATAAGCACTACCTTAATCAGGCGGCGTTTAATGAGCTGCTGATCAGCAGAGAGAAACCCATGATTGATTTTAGGAAACACCATCTGATCAGTCAGGTGAGGTCAAAGGTTGAAGTTCAGAGGTGAGAGAGTTGAAGAATAGACATCAGAAGGCCCCAAGAAAGAAATAAAGATACATACATTAGACTTATAATGACCATTAAATAAAACAGAACTGGCCCTTGTGTCTGACATCAGACCCTCTGGCTCTTCTTGAAAGAAATGTTACCCTGAAACGGGACGGTGAGACCAGATTTTTAGTTAGAAATGGACCTTTTTTGAATCCCATCATTTTGCCTGGGTTTTGGGCCTTTCTAATGGAGTAAACTAAAGGAGCAGGTGAGCTCGAGCCACCTGCATTCTTCACTCAGAGCAGAAAGTCCCCAGACAAAGCGCCAGTTCAGTTTCCGTCAGACTTGTCAACCAGCATAAGGTGGCATGAACGCAACTGTCATTTTATTGATGCCGAAGTCCAGAGTACTTAGAATGATTTAATTGATTGAAAAATATCACAGAGCTTTGCAATGCATACAATTCAACCATCGAGGCGTGGCATGGTCCTAGACAGTTGTGCCGGCCTCTCTCCAAGTGTCCTTGCTCGGCTTCAATGGCCTCCTCTCTTATACGCTCAAGATTCTCCTTCTTAATTTATATTGACCTCAGCAATGCACGGGAAGGCCCGAGAGCCCAAGAACGTGCCGTGTGCGATGAAAGGGGGCAGCAGGACTCGGCGGGCAGTTTAGCTGCTCTGCTCACCTTATGCTGGTTGCGGGCTCTGACGGAGGGCACGGGTGCCAGCCACAAACCTTGACGGTGAGGATCTGATTACTGTGCAGGGCGGCCACTGTGGGGAAGCCTGGCAGACCCTATGGACATGGCACAGCACCAAAACACGACACAAAACGTCACACAGACATTTCACTGGTGGACAAACAAAACAAGCATGTACCTAACATCACCCTGTCCCAGCTCTAGGTCTTGCCCTGTTCGACATTCCATAAACAACATCAGACATCCTTAGGGGAATGGCCAAGTAGGGAACCCCTTGTAACTGCTCCTTGTGGCAGGTACACCAGATCCGTGGATACACTCTTAATGTGTCTGGAATCTTATGCACAAAATGTTAGTACCAAATGGAGATAACTACAGACACTGTTATGAAAACAACACTTCAGTTTCCCTCTACTGATATTCTATTTACTCTACTACTCAGGAATTCAATATGTGCATTAATTTTTCGGACAACCATGAACAGAATTTCTCGGTCAGATCAGAAGTATCCCTCAGAATAAATGCAGTCCTACCACCCACATATCAAAATTTCTCTCTTCAATCATCTGATGATTCTCAGGTCTTTCCTGTTTCAGGAATTCCTGCAGAGGTGGTAGATGGAAATCTGTCTCTTATAACATGCGTATTTCATGTCAGGGGGAGTTATGGTCACACTCTGTAGTAATTACTTCTGTCACGTAGCTTTTCCAAAAGAACTTGACAGTTCACACAACCCCATGAAGCAGAAAAGTGGTTTTGAATTCCTTAACCAAGGAGCATGCTGCAAAGTCCTGCGCTAACTCGTCCCTACAGGCGTTATCAATCGGGTAGGCCTGAGAGGGAAATTTTGCCTTTGTTCTACTTCTTTTGCAACAACATATGATACTGGAGCCTTTTATTCCATTTTTTTCCCCCCAAGCAGAACATGTTCACCATTCAAACAAAATAAACAACCACCACAGCGATCCAATGCTGCCTTCCTACGTTCTCTCCTTCTCACCCAAATCTATTTTGAGGATATTTTTAGGAAAGGCCAGAAAACTTCCAGTTTTTAAATTTTACTAGTTTGGGTACATTTTCTCCTTTATTTTCCCCTTACTAGGGATATATTTTTCTTTTTTGCAAAACCAATAAAATTATGTCTGTAGTATGAGGCTTTCTCTTCAGCCCTAATGCCTTCTATTCTCATTCTTTAGAGCTGGGACTTCTCAGAAGGAAAGCAGAGGAAACCACATCCCTTTTGCCAAATCCTTTCCGATAAGGCTCTTAAGTGGCTGGGTAGTTTCAAGGTGACCTGCATCTTCTTTTTCTTCTCCCTAAGTTAAAGTCCTTTAAGCAAAGACTCTGCACAGATTCAGAAATGCTACGAGTTGGAAAACAGATGTGTACAATTTGCTTTTGTTTTACTATGGAATATGAGTTTAAAATGTTATTAGATGGTAATGTGCCAGCATCTTTCCATCTGTGACTCATTACCCCTATATTACACAGTCAGAATTTTATATATAAACCTCATATTTATGTAACAAAGAACAAAAACAGATACAAACAAGAAGTCTATGAGGGATCAGAATCTTGATTAGTGGCGATAAATCATAATGTCACTTTAAACAGATTATCTAACAGAAATCATTTAAAATTAAAAACCTTTTAACAGCACACATGGTAGGCCTTAGAAATGTTTTGAAATTTGAATGTATAAATAAGTCACTTCTTGTACTCCTATCTGAGCATGACCGGCTTGCTGTTTGATCATATTTTCTAAATGCTCCAAACAAAGCATTAAGTTTTAGAACTTGATAGTTTGCTTTGCACTGTTAACCAGATCTAAAGAGGAAGTGGATGGGTAATTCTCACCTCGGACAGAGATTTTCTGTGTGAGGAAGCTGACTGTATGTCCCTCAATCATCTTAACTATGGACATGCTATCAATTAGGTGCTTAGAGCTACATTTTAACAATTTCACTAGCGAACTAAGTAAAAGGACTCAAGAGTGCACATGTAGCAAAGTAAAAAGGGCACATGTGGAGGATTTCTCTCAAATTCTAATAAAATTTCCATGGCCTGAGCTGCAGTGTCCTAGGACTCTGTGCTTTTCAAACTGTGGTAATGCTTAAAGGGTATGTGCAAGCGTCCTGGGACTGTTTAAAGGCAATAATAAAAACAGTGCATCTTCCCTAAGAGTCAATTTTAATTAATGGTAAATAATTTTATTCTTTAAATTTTTTATTGAATTAATTGGGATGACATTGGTTAAAATTGCACAGGTTTCAGGTGTACGATTCTATCATACATCATTGTATATTGATGTGTGTGTGTATTGTAGTGTGTGTTCACCACCCCAATGGTGATGACAAGTGTCCATCACCATGTATCCCCCTTTACCCTCTCCCCACCCTACTTTCCCTCCGGTCATCACCACACTATTGTCTGTGTCTATGAGGCATGTTTTTTTCTTGCTTAATCCCTTCATCTTTTTCACCGAGCACCCCAGCATCCCTCCCCTCTGACAGCATCAGTCTATTCTCCGTAAGTCTCTGTTCTCTATGAGTCTGCTACTTTGTTTGTTAATTTTTAACATCTTTTCATATGTCTATTGGCCATTTGCATGTCATCTTTGGAGAAGTGTCTATTCAGGTCCTTTGCAGTTATAAATTGGAAATGTTTGGGGGTTTTTTGGTGTTGCGTTGTATAAGTTCATTATAAATTTTAGATATTAACCACTTATCAGATGTGTAATTTTAAACATTTTTAAATAAAGCAAATGTTGACATAATTTGGGGTAGAATGTGAAATTTGCACACATTTAAAAAATGCTACTGTTTGGTGATGACAGAGAATCTCTTCTCATGGCGGTTGCCTCTGCTTCCTTAGGTGGTCTTGGGGGCCAAGTATGAGAAGCACCGGTGCTGGATGCTTATCTGTACGCCACAGCTTTGTGTGGCCATAACTGCTGGGCTTTCCTAGCTGTTCACACAGAGAGCGCACTTGTTCANATGTGTGTGTGTATTGTAGTGTGTGTTCACCACCCCAATGGTGATGACAAGTGTCCATCACCATGTATCCCCCTTTACCCTCTCCCCACCCTACTTTCCCTCCGGTCATCACCACACTATTGTCTGTGTCTATGAGGCATGTTTTTTTCTTGCTTAATCCCTTCACCTTTTTCACCGAGCACCCCAGCATCCCTCCCCTCTGACAGCATCAGTCTATTCTCCGTAAGTCTCTGTTCTCTATGAGTCTGCTACTTTGTTTGTTAATTTTTAACATCTTTTCATATGTCTATTGGCCATTTGCATGTCATCTTTGGAGAAGTGTCTATTCAGGTCCTTTGCAGTTATAAATTGGAAATGTTTGGGGGTTTTTTGGTGTTGCGTTGTATAAGTTCATTATAAATTTTAGATATTAACCACTTATCAGATGTGTAATTTTAAACATTTTTAAATAAAGCAAATGTTGACATAATTTGGGGTAGAATGTGAAATTTGCACACATTTAAAAAATGCTACTGTTTGGTGATGACAGAGAATCTCTTCTCATGGCGGTTGCCTCTGCTTCCTTAGGTGGTCTTGGGGGCCAAGTATGAGAAGCACCGGTGCTGGATGCTTATCTGTACGCCACAGCTTTGTGTGGCCATAACTGCTGGGCTTTCCTAGCTGTTCACACAGAGAGCGAACTTGTTCATTAACTATGCCATTTCCCCAAAGTACCATTAGTCATAGATCTTTCTAAATAAATGGAATGGATATATTTACTTGGTTTTACATCTCAGAAAGCTTGCCTGGTACACAGATGGTACAAGTGGGTGTGGGGAAAAAAATGTGTCTCCAGAAAAACATGGAGAATAAGCCCAGGAAAAAGCTAAAATACTGAGATAATTGGAGCGAATTTCACCCCCGAATATATTGACTTTTTCAGAAACTGGATATATAAGAGTATAAAACTACTTTATACAATCTATTTTCCTCCTGAGAGCATAAAGACTCAGATTCCTTCTTGAATCTTCCTAACGTGCTGTGAAGTAGGCAACCGTCTCAGGACAGGCACTCTGACACATTGTAGGAGGATCTCCATCTCCCCTCCCTACCTTCTAGAAGGAAGGATGCAAGCCTACCCCAAAGGGATGTTGAAGAAATAAATTATTCATGAGAAATGCTTCTAACTACTTACAAGCCATAAATTCAAGACGCTATATTTATTTTTATTGTGCACCCAAAAATGATGAGTGTTATATGATTACACTACAGTGAGAAATTGTGTGTTTTGTCAAAAGT